TACGATCGGATTGGGCTGGCCTAAGACCTTAAAATAGGACTAAACTCGGCCCGCCTATTAGGGCCTTGGCTCTTTTTAACAGGCCTAGTACAAGTAAATCATTAGCTAGTTGTTTCAAAGGGTAGTTATGATTTTTAAGATCGGTATAATTTCTTTTTAGGTTTTTGAGATTTGAAATTAATATAAGTGGTTCTGAGTTTGTCTACCATCAATCATTTTGGTCATTCTGTGAAAATTTTCTATTAAATTTGGATTAAAACTACAAAAATACTCCAAATTAGTGAACATGGGCCAAAATGATTCAACAAAAACTAAGAGTATTTTTGTCATTTTATCCCCTGTTAATTTGGCAGCTACCTTTTTCCTTCTTATATTATGAAACCCCTCCTGACTTCTCTATCACTTACCTCTCTCTATATCACACACACACACACACACAGTTGGGGTCGTTGCTCTAGATGTTGTTCTCCTGGTGTGAAACCAATTGTTTCCATAGTTTTAGAATTTTGCTGATCCCAAGTACTCCATCTCCATCATTGCATATGGGAATATAGAAAGCAAAGAGGAAAAGGGAAGCCGTGGGTTCTTGCTTTAGTTTCTTTTCTTGCGCACTCAACCATCCCTTGGTCAAGCTCTAGACGAACTTTCAGTGTTGAGTTGTCACAAGTAGGTTTTTTAGTCATAACTAGACAACCAAGATAGACATCCTTCTCCTCAGTCAGACTCACCAGTATCCATGGTTGGAAAATGAAGAAGTAATCAGAGTGACAAATGGCTACGGTTGCGGAAACCGGAGAAAAAGTCGGTTACCTTTTGAATCATAGAATGAATAAGTAGAATGAATAAGGAGAGGCATGTTGATGTCCAAGCCACTCTTTATACTACTCCTTACCCCACCTCCTGTCACTTAAAGGGCGAAGTCATTGAAGCAAGTCTAAAGGTCAAAGAATGATCCTTGAACGCTACTACCCATCCTTACTAATAGTATAGTGTAAGCTAGGTTTCCTTACTCTAACAGAGATTTTTCACGGAATGATCAAAATAATTATGATGGACAATCTCAAGCATATTTATATTAATTTTAAATCTTAAGGGCAAAAATAAGAAGTTATAACCGTCAAATCCCATTTTGGCTAAAAGAACAAAAAAAAATTCACCAGTTTGACAAACTGGTTGACCTTTCCATTTTTCTCAACACAAAAATCCATCAAAAGCCCGCACGGACGCTCGTTTCTCTCTCCCAAATAAAACCATCGCTCTCTGTGTTCCCAAAATCCTCCAACGAACTGAGTGAAATCACCAGAGGCAAGTAAGTCATCTTCTTTCCACTCTTCTCCTTCGAATTCTTTCTGGAAAATGCAAAATCTTCACCACTACATATTAAATTATCAGAAAAATTTCCAAAATATTCACAGGCTAGTAATTTGATTGATTAATTGATTGATTATTTTAGTTAATTAGGATGATATCTTTGGAGGGTTTCGAGCCCGTAGCTGTTTCTCCCCAGAAACAAGACCCGGCATGGAAACACTGCCAAGTTTTCATGAAAGACCAACCCAATGGGGTTAGAGTTGAGTTGAAAAAGTGTATATATTGCGGCAAGTTGTTTCAGGGTGGTGGGATTACTCGGCTTAAATCCCACCTTGCCGGTCGGAAGGGCAATGGCCCCACCTGTGAGCAGGCCCCGCCGGATGTTAGAATCGCAATGTTGCAGAGTTTGGATGATGGGATTGCAGCGTTTAGGCAGAGGAAGAGTCGAATTGTTGCTAACCCGCATTGTGGCATTAGCGAAATTGACGGTTCATTAGGCGAAAATGGAGAGTATAAATTGGTTGTAGGACACTTTTCGAATGCGGTGGTGAATGATGAGGAGGCTGGTGGGATGAGTGGGAATGGAGGAATTAGGTTAAGTGATAATTTGACGAATGTGCCCCTTGAAGTAGATAATTCTTACAGGAGTAATGCTCAGCAGGGATTAATTGGAGTGCCCAAATTGGATTTTTCGGTAGATGAAGAGGAAGATGGTGGGACAAGTGTTGATAGAAGAGTACAGCGGAGGGGTAGACCTTCAGGTGGTGCTACCTGTTCTGGTTCAGTTCATGCTGGTGTTACGAAATTGAGTAGTGTTTCAAATCCTTTTCCTATTTCAGTAGGCAATGCTTTTCCCAATTCAAATTTATCGCAAAACGAAGAAGAAGTTGGCATCAAACTGAATCAGGAAGATGTTGGATTGAGTATTGATAGAAGAGTAAGGCGGAGGGGTAGACCTTCTAAAGCAGCAACTGGTTCAGTTAATGCTGTTATGAAATTGAGTAATGCTTCACCTCCTGTTCCCATTGCATTAGGTAATGCTTTTCCCAATTCAAATTTGTTGGAAAATGAAGACGTTGGCATAAGTAATACAAATGTGAGTGTGAAGAAGAGGGTAAGGGATGAAAATGCTTTTGGGGCTGCGAATGATGGAACCATCGGCAATGATTACGAGGTAAAAAGGTTGAGCATTGAACAAATACATATGGCAATTGGTCGGTTTTTGTATGAAATTCAGGCTCCCCTGGATGCCGTGAAGAACTCTGTTTATTTCCAGCCAATGATTGACGCAATTGCCTCTGGGGGAAAGGAGACTGTGGCACCCTCATATGATGACATTCGGGGTTGGATGTTGAAGAATGCAGTTGAAGAGATGAAAAGTGAAATTCAACAACACAAGGAAACTTGGGCGAGGACAGGTTGTTCTCTTCTAGTCAGCCAATGGAATTCTGAAAAGGGAAGAACTTTGCTAAATTTTGCTGTGTACTCTTCTGAAGGAACAGCCTATTTGAAATCTGTGGATGCTTCCTACTTTATTTTTTCCCCAGATGCTTTGTTTGCATTTTTCAAGGAAATGGTGGAAGAAATTGGAGTGGTACATGTTTTGCAAGTCATTACAAATACTGAAGAGCAGTTTTCTGTTGTTGGGAAGAAGTTGATGGATACGTTCCCTACCCTGTACTGGTCTCCCTGTTCCACTGCTTGCATAGATTCGATTCTTGAGGATTTCGGAAAAGTTGAGTGGATAAATTCTGTAATTGAACAGGCTAGATCCGTTACAAGATTTATCTACAAACACGTTGTCATTTTGAACATGATGAGAAGGTATACGTTCGGGAATGACATTGTTAGGCTGGGGGTATCTAGGTTTGCAACAAACTTTATGACGTTGAAACAAATGGCTGGCCTTAAATATAATTTGCAGTCGATGGTTACTTCAAATGAGTGGATGGGCTGCCCCTTTTCTAAAACACCAGAAGGATCGGCAGTGTTAGATATATTCAGTAATCACTCATTTTGGTCTTCGTGCATTTTGATCACCCGTTTAACAAATCCACTCTTGCGAGTTTTGAGAATTGTTGGTAGCCAGAAGAGGCCTGCGATGGGATATGTTTTTGCAGGGATGTATCGAGCAAAAGAAACAATCAAAATAGAACTTGTCAAGAAAGAAGAATATATGGTGTACTGGAACATTATAGATCACAGATGGAAAAAACTGTGGGATTTTCCCCTTCACGCTGCAGGATTTTACCTTAATCCCAAGTTCTTTTATGGCTTCAAAGGAGACATGCATAATGAAATTGTGTCGAGGATGTTTGACTGCATAGAGAGATTGGTTCCTGATATAAAAGTCCAAGATGAAGTAATCAAAGAGATAAACTTGTACAAAAATGCTGTTGGAGATTTGGGGAGGAATTTGGCAGTCCGAGCAAGGGACAATCTGCTTCCTGGTGAGAATGGTTCATTAGAATGCTTTGTTATTTTGTGTCGCATGGTTTCTTTAGTTACTTGGCTATACATGTAGACCAAAGGTAATTAAGCCATATTTTAACTCGGTTTTAACCTTTAAATAATAGAATGATAGATATGATAAATTGCATAAAATATACCCTGACCATCTATTTTTTATTTTTTGTTTAAATTCGATACGAGAGCTCCTATTTTGAGGATATGCTGCACAGGGTTGGATGTTCTTGCATCTTTTGGCTCATTTCTTTAAACTCTCTGTTTGTCTTAGCTGAATGGTGGTCTACATATGGTGGTGGTTGCCCAAACCTTGCACGCTTGGCAATTCGTATTCTCAGTCAAACTTGCAGCTTAGTTCCGTGTCAGGATCATCAGATTCCTTTCGAACAGTTGCACAAGACAAGGAACAGCGTAGAACATCAGCGGCTTAATGATCTTGTTTTCGTTCAATACAACCTCAAACTAAAACAGAAGTAAGTGGAAACCATAGGTTCTGTTGATTTGTATTTCCAATTTCTTTGGTCAAAGAAAACAGATCTTTTGCTAATCAACTGTCTTATAGGGTTCATAAGCACAAAGAACAGGAGTACGCGGATCCTATATCATTTGACCGCAATAGCATTGCCGAAGAGTGGGTAGCAGAGATGGAGATGCACCAAGAAGACACTGAAAATCCTGATTGGATGTCACTTGATCCCCCCTCTGAGAACTCGAGGCTTTTAGAACTTTCGGTTGATGAAGTTGAAGAATTGGGTTCAGGTAACTAAGTTTGTATGGTTTGTAATTGATCGTCGAAGATGTAATCTTTTCTACATCTTGAGTTAAACTAGACAGTTGGTCAATGTACAGGGTTTGATGACAATGAAATTTTGAGCGGATTGAAAGTGGTTAAAGAAGAATGTTAAACACAACGCTGTGAGCCGGCAGGACAGAATGCAAAGACAAGCATCTTTATGAGTTCACCACACCACCGTCACTTTCTTCAAGTACCTACAGGAAGCAAGGCATCTTAGCAAACTCGCATGTCTAGAGATACTGCTCGTGCCGATTATATTCTTTCCCTGGCATTACTGCAGAGTGACGGAAAGTAGGAGGAAAAATATGTGATCGCCGCCAGCCTCCAGTGATGTGAATTGGCTCGGCAAGTTCCTGCAACAAACAATTACAAGTAGGTAGTTCACATGGTAGAAAAATGGGGCTTTGTAGCTGACAATCAAAAATAGTTGCCGAACGAGTTTTCAGTTTTCAATTTAAAAAAAGAAATATAAAAACTGAAAATTAAATGCTTATCCAACGGCCCTGAAGTAATTTCATTTAGGGATCCGACCATATGACTCACAAACAACTGAGACCGTCCTCTTCTTTTCGTATCAACAAACAAACAAATTCTTATATTTCCGAAAGCATCTGCAACCCAATATACAAACTAAATACAAACTTGAATAATACATAACCATCTGTGTTTTGCCTTGCAAATAGCCAAGGGAATAGCAAAAACACAAAAACTTGATCTAGTATCGTTTCCCAAGAATGAGGCCGATGATCGTAGACACCACAGCCACTCCCACTCCCACTCCCACGATGAACTTAACGCTCGGCATTGGGGAAGCCTTTGCCTCCCTTTCCGCTGCAGCCGCCTTAATGCTTCCAACCTACAATTCGTCTGAGTCAGAAAGAATATTTAAAAGATGAATGTGCCCCGTTCTTTGGCCGCCCAAGAGCTTATCTGTGGATTTTTTTTTCATGGAAATTGATTTCTACCTCTTTTTGCAGTTAAGGTTCAGTTTTCACCAATTTTTCTTCGAGTTCCTTGAGAGAATTCTGCAACAAAGGTTTCTCAGCAACCTCAGCCTTGAGATTTTCACCTCAGATTTTAAGGCAGCTTCTGCTTTTTGTTCCTTGAGCTGTTCTTCCAGGTTAGATATCACTTGCTGGAGTTCCTTGTTAGTATTTTGATGCACTTCATTAAGCAGGCGGTTCTCATCCATAAGTGAAGATATCTGTGGCAAACAGATGTAGCTAATAACCATAAAGCAACAATATTTAGCCGCAAAATAATTACAAAAAAGTTTGGTGCAAACCTGAGATTGTAGTTTCTGCCCTTCAGAAGAATGCTGCTGCGTTAAATCTTCAATAGTCCTTTTTGCAGCCTGAAGTTGTTCAACTGATCCGTCCTTCTCAGCAACGGCAGTGGAAAATTTTGCTTCAAGGTCACTTAGTTTGGACTCGTATGTAGACACATCTTCTTTAAGCTTTATATTTGCCTCAGCTAGTTTTCTGCTCTCTTCTTCAAAGTGAGCTGACTTGGTTTGCAGTTCCTTGAGAGAATTCTGCAATAAAGGTTTCTCAGCAGCCTCAGACTTGAGATTTTCAACCTCAGATTTTAAAGCAACTTCTCCTGCTTTTTGTTCCTTGAGCTGTTCTTCAAGGTTGGATATCACTTGCTGGAGTTCCTTCTTAGTATTTTGATGCACTTCATCAAGCAGGCGGATCTCATCCATAAGCGAAGATATCTGTAGCAAACAGATGTAGCTAATAACCATAAGGCAACAATATTTAGCCGCAAAATAATTAAAAAAAAGTTTGGTGCAAACCTGAGATTGTAGTTTCTGCCCTTCAGAAGAATGCTGCTGCGTTAAATCTTCAATAGTCCTTTTTGCAGCCTGAAGTTGTTCAACTGATCCGTCCTTCTCAGCAACGGCAGTGGAATATTTTGCTTCAAGGTCACTTAGTTTGGACTTGTATGTATACACATCTTCTTTAAGCTTTATATTTGCCTCAGCTAGTTTTCTTCTCTCTGCTTCACAGTTAGCTGATTTGGTTTGCAGTTCCTTGAGAGAATTCTGCAATAAAGGTTTCTCAGCAGCCTCAGCCTTGAGCTTTTCAACCTCAGATTTTAAAGCAGCTTCTCGTGCTCTTTGTTCCTTGAGCTGTTCTTTAAGGATGGCTATCTCTAGCTGGCGCGAAGGCATCTGTGGCAAACAGATGTAGCTAATAACCATAAAGCAACAATATTTAGCCGTAATATAATTACAAAAAAGTTTGGTGCTTTCCAGAAATTCCAGAAAATCCATTAGCTTCCAAATCTCTCTGGCTGAATGTTTCAATGGCTTCTTGCAACTTCGTTTCAGCTTCCACAATGCGGGCTTCGGAAGCAGAATGAAGTTCTAAGGCTCTCGAGTGCTTATCTGTTAATTCTTCAACAGTGCTCTTGTGCAAAGGCTCTGAACTGCATCCTAACATCATGTGTAAAAACAAGCAAGAGGAGGCACCAACTCATTAGTGGGTGAAGTCTTTTGGCAGCGTCCCGACTCCAAACCAAAACAAAAATAAAAAGATGCAGGACAATTCGAAGATAATACCTGGTGACTGGGAAGGCGACCGATCATCCAACTCACGGACAACCAGCTTTGCCCTTGGATCAACAACTTCAAACAAATCTGAGGCCAAAGGAAAATGTTACAAACTTTACACATCAAGGGCACAAGAAACGTCGCAGTAATACAAGGAACTCTGACGTGGAGCTTCTACAGGGATGATCTATATAGCAAACGATCGTAGATATGTATAAGATGGGTGGTGCAGGTGCTACAATAGGGATTTTGACTATTAACTGCTTGATCAGTCGTATCCTATGGACCAGACCGAACTGACAATACCTGGTTGACACCCCAGAAAAACACGACTGATCAAGGGCACATGCTAATATGAATAACTAGCCAGATTTCTCCGGCTCACTTTCATATCATATTTGCAGAATTCATGAAATGCGGATTCCCCACTATATACAATATATTCGAAACTACTATTTAATCGCCCTTTTTCTGTTTCTAATGACTCCAAATTGAAATTTCTATTTCAAAATGAAGTTCTAAACACAATTCAATAAAGAAACGCCCAATGGCAGTGACATCAGAATCACCAAACATGCAAATCCAAACTTAACCCGGTTTTCGCAACCATATTATCCATAAAACACCTCAAATAATTACAATTAGTGATTAAGCATAAGATCAAACCTAAAAAACAATTCAAATCCAAATGCAAACCAAATTAACCAATGGAGCAGCTTCCACGGAAGAAATGGGAGAGATTAAAAGCTCGAATTCGAGAGATTGCCAAACCAAAACGCAATGCATCAAATTGCCAAACCAAAAAGCAATGCATCAAAACCATCCCCGGATTAGATTCTTACTTAGCTGTTAAGCTTGGGATGTTTAGTGATTGGTTATATATATTCTTAACTATCTGTTGAAGAAATATAAATCTTGACAGAAAGGAAGAACATGAAAAGGAATCTTGTGTGAGAAGATAGAGCTTAGAATCTTTTAGAGAGATTTTTTTAGAGAGAAAGGTTTCTCAGCAGCCTCAGCCTTGAGATTTTCACCTCAGATTTTAAAGCAGCTTCTGCTTTTTGTTCCTTGAGCTGTTCTTCAAGGTTAGATATCACTTGCTGGAGTTCCTTGTTAGTATTTTGATGCACTTCATTAAGCAGGCGGTTCTCATCCATAAGCGAAGATATCTGTGGCAAACATATGTAACTAATAACCATACGGCAATAATATTTAGCCGCAAAATAATTAAAAAAAAGTATGGTGCAAGCCTGAAATTGTAGTTTCTGCCCTTCAAAAGAATGCTGGTGCGTTAAATCTTCAATAGTCCTTTTTGCAGCCTGAAGTTGTTCAACTGATTCGTCCTTCTCAGCAACGACAGTGGAATATTTTGCTTCAAGGTCACTACTACAATATTAGCTTTAGGTGTCGGATGATGGTGGCGGTTTAATAAGACATTATGTCGGATAAGAGATATCTGACACATCATTCAGTTAGTGTCGGATAACAATGAAATCATGTCGATTATATCTGCTAGTATTTTTGAATTTTTTTTATAAATATTTTTAACATATTCCGGCGGTTTTTAGTTAATGGTGGCGGTTATAATTGACAGAAATTGACTATTTTATTATTTTAAAATATTATATTGATTAAAAATAAATAAATAAATAAACATATGGTTTAAATATATTTTTAGGGGGGGGGTGGATTTAAAATCGTAACAAAATTTTGGAGGAGAACTTAAAATTTTGGGAGGGAATTTTGGGGGGAATTTTGCCGCAATTTTTTTTTTGTCGGTTATAACCGATAGTAATGAAAATTTTATATCGATTTTTATTTTAAAAAATGTTATTGTCAGTTTTAATTGACAGTAATGAAAATTTTCCAAAATAAGACCCCTTCATCTCTTCGTTGCGTCGGTGCCTTTTCCCTTCCCTCTTCCTTCAATGAAATCATTTCAGCTTTTTACATTATATCTCTCTCTCATTTCACTCTCTCTCTCTAAACCTTTCTCTCAATTTTCTCTGTGAGTTCATAGTGTTCACCAACGGTAATTCTTTAGTTATGTTAATATGTTATCGATAGCCATCGATTCTTCATGGGTTTTCTGTTACTGAATCTTTTGGGGGAGCTTTTCGTTGGAATCTTCGTCTGGGGTTTCATCTGGGTTGCATTCTTAGTTGTGTTCATCATGTTCATAGTTGTATGTGCTACTCTCTCATTTGTTTCCGCTCTGATGGTTATGATGGTGTATGCTGATAAGGTTAAATCTGGTGAAATCTCAGGTTCTATGTTCGAAACCTTGCAACATATTATCTTTGATTCTTGATTTCTTGTGCTGTTTTTTGTTAAAGATATGAGATTTTCAGTATACATATACGTTACTATGAAAGTTAATCAGTAGTGTTAAAACAATTAAAGGCCAAATTGCCAATGTGATAGAGGTCAGATGCCATTGTTTGAACGGCAATTGCCAAATCTGTGAATCTTGATTGAAGTTGTGAAGGCCGATGGCCATAGATTGATTATAGTTAGAATTTGTAAATGGAGAATACTAGTTTTCTTGTTAATCTTGAAGTGATAAGTTGGTTGTGTATGCTTGTGAATTTGTAAGTGGAGAATACTAGTTTTCTTGTTAATCTTGAAGTGGAGAATACTAGTTATTCTGCACTATATATGCAAGGGTCTGCAAGTTCTTCCTTGGATTCTCATAATCAAATTGGTGAAGGACAATTTCTAATTCTGTTAGTATTGACTCATCAACTGGTGGAAGAAGTCGTGTTCCTCTTTGTTCAAATAATCAACACAACATTCTGGTTTTCAACCCTAACAACCTCAACAACAAGCATTCTATCCTTTGGCACCTGCTAATGATTTTGGATCTGGTTTTGTGGGAAAGAAATGATTCAGAAAGTGGTTTATATATATTTTTTATTATTAATATAATTTCTGTCGGTTTTATCCTATAGAGAATGCTCTTATTTATTTTATTAATAAATTCTCTATCGGTTATATCTGACACAAGTTCTGTCGGTTTTAGTGTATTTTCTGTCAGAAAATTCATTTCCTGATGCTGGCAATTCTGTCGCTTATTATATACGCCACTGCATCCATATTCTGTCAAATTTTACTTAATATGTGATAGTAATATACGTTTCTTGTCGGTTATCATAACGACACTAATAAATGGTTTTGTAGTAGTGTTAGTTTGGACTGGTATGTAGACACATCTTCTTTAAGCTTTATATTTGCTTTATATTTACCTCAGCTAGTTTTCTGCTATTTTCTTCAAAGTAAGCTGACTTGGTTTGCAGTTCCTTGAGAGAATTCTGCAATAAATGTTTCTCAGCAGCCTCAGCCTTGAGATTTTCAACCTCAGATTTTGAAGCAGCTTATCCTGCTTTTTGTTCCTTGAGCTGTTCTTCATGGTTGGATATCACTTGCTGGAGTTCCTTCTTAGTATTTTGATGCACTTCATTAAGCAAGCGGTTCTCATCCATAAGTGAAGATAACTGTGGCAAACGGATGTAGCTAATAACCATAAAGCAACAATATTTAGCTGCAAAATAATTACAAAAAAGTTTGGTGCAACCTGAGATTGTAGTTTCTGCCCTTCAGAAGAATGCTGCTGCGTTAAATCTTCTATAATCCTTTTTGCAGCCCGAAGTTGTTCAACGGCAGTGGAATATTCTGCTTTAAGGTAGGACTCGTATGTAGTAGGCCCACCACCACCACTGCTAAGATCGGCGAGCATGATCGCAGACACCACAGCCACGCCCACGAGGAACTCTGACGTGGAGCTTCTACAGGGATGATCCATATAGTAAACGATCGTAGATGGTATAAGATGGGTGGTGCAGGTGTTACAATAGGGATTATGACTATTAACTGCTTAATCAGTCGTATCCTATGGACTAGACCGAATTGACAATACCCGTTTGATACCCAAGAAGAACACGACTGATCAAGGGCACATGTTAATATGAATAACCAGCCAGATTTCTCTGGCTCACTTTCATATCATATTCGCAGAATTAATGAAATGCGGATTCCCCATAATGAAATGCGGATTCCCCACTGTATACAATATATTCGAAACTACTATTTAATCGTTCTTTTTCGGTTTCTGAAGACTCCAAATTGAAATTTCTATTTCAAAATGAAGTTTGTTGGTACCATACTTGACCAATCCCAAAACTACTGAGCACTGGTCAACGTTATACCGTCAAGGACCCAGAAGAGTTTTCCTCCAACCAGGAGGCCAATCACAGCGCGACACGTGTCGACATCAGAAGCCAATCATAGCGCGACACGTGTCAACATCAGAAGCCAATCACAACACGACACGTGTTAATGTTAGAATGAAACGAGAAACTCTATTCTATAAATAGAGATCATTCTTTCACAATATTTCTTAATGTCATTTGTACTAAATTATTCGCTAGTACTCACAAAAGAAGAGCCTGAACCTATGTACTTGTGTAAACCCTTCATAATTAATGAGAACTCCTCTACTCCGTGGACGTAGCTAATATGGGTGAACCACGTACATCTTGTGTTTGCTTCCCTATCCCTATCCATTTACATACTTATCCACACTAGTGACTGGAGCAATCTAGCGAAGGTCACAAACTTCACACTTTCTGTTGTACCAAAGTCCTCATTGATTTTGTGCATCAACATTTGGCGCCGTCTGTGGGAATCGATACGAAAAGTTGTGTCGGTTCTCTTTCATTGTTTCACCTCCACCGTGAATCTGCAAAATAAAAAAAACCCAGAAACAAAAAAGAAACCTACTCCGTGTCTGCTTTCTTTTATTTTGGGTGCAATCTATTCTATATATTTCAATCACACAGAGAAAAACAATCAAATAATTGTGATCCTTCGCAAAAATGGTTAGTCTTAATTAGAATTGCTCCGGATTCAGCAGAGGCCGTACCGAAGCGCATTGGGGCCCAGTATCTGCCCAACTTTCTGATCTCGTTCATTCTCATGCTCCTAGCCCGTCTCCTAACCCTGCAATGGGTGCTCCAAACCATTCAGTGCGCAGCACCACCACCAGCCTCTCTGCACCCACACACACCAGATCAGAGTCCTCCTTTTGGTCGCCGCCGCATTCTCCTTCACCAGCCTCTTAAACCGCTCATTCCGCCTCTGCGCCTCTCGCTTCCTCGCCGTAGATCTCCTCCACAAATCACGGAGCTTCATCCAAGTCATCTGCCTGTGCCTGACGGCCTGTGAAAATAACCCGACCCATTTACATAACCGGCGAGAGCTAAGCCGGGAAGTATACTTCAGTGATCGGTGAGGTCTATGGGAAATATATTCCCTGGAAGCATATTCGCAGCACCGGCGAGGTCAAAACTGTAGCAATAGTGGTTGAACTTCCAAGTCAACTGGAAGAAGATGAGGGCTATGATGATAGCAATTTTTCAGCATGGCAAAAATGATGTACTGTTGCATGGTGAGCAGCAAATTCGTTATCATACAAGGCACGTGGAGGAAGGAGTTTTAAGTGGCAATGACCACCAACTGAAGCATGACACTGAAATTGAGGTGTTGTTAGATGGTGAATCGCAGGCAGGAAATTAGCAAGGACTCGTGGATGAAGCAGTTGTGAATGGTAGTAACCACCGACTGGAGTCAACAGTTTTGGCAGTCGGTAATGTTCCACCATTTTGAGGAAATCAAACAGGTGAATTCTACTACAATACACCCTGTACCAACCTCTGGCCAGCAGAGACAGGTGTTGGTGGGGTTATTTTCTGCTTAAATGGAATTGGCTCTATTTTATGTGGTTTTCCTGACGATGTAAAGAGAGAGGGAGAGAGACAGCTGGCGATCTAGGACATGTTGTCGTAAGCAGCAAGCATCTGGAGTCTCTGTTAGTTAACAGGCGGCCGACTCTTTGCTCCCTCACACCTCCAATCCAATCCAATCTAATACATAGTCCAATCCAATAAAATCAAATCTGAATCGCCTTTTTACTTTTAATTGGGTATTCGAATCCCGGAAAGTGTTTGGATTCTGGGGTTTCCGATTCGGTGGAGCTCCAGTTCCGGCATGCCTCTGTCTTTGAACATTCATTCAAATTTATCGCCTTTTTTCTTGGTTGTTGGTTTAAGCTCTGGATTTGGGGTTTGGAGGTGAAGGAAGCTTTCAAGACAGTGTGAAGCAAACCAATTTATGGTGCCAATAAAAGGTTCATCAAAGGAGTTCAACCATAATTCTCAAAAGCTTCACACACTCTTGATCAAGACAGTGTGAAGCAAAACCAATTTATGGTGCCAACAAGAGCTTCATCAATGGAGGGCTACCACAATTCTCAAAAGCTTCACACACTCTTGATCAAGATAGTGTGAAGAAAAATCAATTTATGGTGCCAACAAGAGCTTCATCAATGGAGGGCAACCACAATTCTCAAAAGCTTCACACTCTTGATCAAGACAGTGTGAAGCAAAATCAATTTATGGTGCCAACAAGAGCTTCATCAATGGAGGACAACCACAATTCTCAAAAGCTTCACACACTCTTAATCAAGACAGTGTGAAGCAAAACCAATTTATGGTGCCAACAAGAGCTTCATCAAAGGAGTTCAACCACAATTCTCAAAAGCTTCACACACTCTTGATCAAGACTGTGAAGCAAAACCAATTTATGGTGCCAACAAGAGCTTCATCAATAGAGGGCAACCACAATTCTCAAAAGCTTCACACACTTTTGATCAAGACAATGTGAAGCAAAACCAATTTATGGTGCCAACAAGAGCTTCATCAAAGGAGTTCAACCACAATTCTCAAAAGCTTCACACACTCTTGATCAAGACAGTGTGAAGCAAAACCAATTTATGGTGCCAACAAGAGCTTCATCAATGGAGGGCAACCACAATTCTTAAAAGCTTCACATACTCTTGATCAAGACAGTGTGAAGCAAAACCAATTTATGGCGCCAACAAAAGCTTCATCAAAGGAGTTCAACCACAATTCTCAAAAGCTTCACACACTCTTGATCAAGACAGTGTGAAGCAAAACCAATTTATGGTGTCAACCAAAGCTTCATCAATGGAGGGCAACTACAATTCTCAAACCTTCGAAGCAAATTCAAGACTGTTCGAAACAAATTCAATTAATATGGTTCATCCAAACTTTCGACTACTACAAGGTGTGGCTTGCATCACAATCTCTTGCTCAACAATGTGGAAGCAAAATTTGTATATGTTGTTTCTCCCACATTTTCAAATTTCTAGTTTCCTAAAAAAAAAAAAAAAAGAAGGGAAATTCAACAAAGCTTCATCAATGGAGGACAACTACAAATTCTCAAAAGCTTCACACTATCTTGATTAAGATAGTGTGAAGCAAAATCAATTCGTGGTACCCAATAAAGCTTCACCACAAAAGCTTCACCAACAAAAGCTTCATCAATGGAAGACAACTACAAATTCTCAAAAGCTTCACACTATCTTGATCAAGATAGTGTGAAGCAAAATCAATTCATGGTACCCAACAAAAGCTTCAGCTCCAAAGCTTCACCAACAAAAGCTTCATCAATGGAGGACAACTACAAATTCTTAAAAGCTTCACACTATCTTGATCAAGATAGTGTGAAGCAAAATCAATTCATGGTACCCAACAAAAGCTTTAACTCCAAAGCTTCACCTACAAAGCTTCAACTCCAAAGCTTCACCTATAAAAGCTTCACCCACAATAGCTTCACCTACAAAAGCTTCACCCATAAAAGCTTCACCAACAAAAGCTTCACCCACAAAAGCTTCACCCACCACAAAAGCTTTACCCACCACTAAAGCTTCACCCACAAAAGCTTCACCTACAAAAGCTTCACCTACAAAAGCTTCACCAACAAAAGCTTCACCCACAAAAGCTTCCCCCACCACAAAAGCTTCACCCACCACAAAAGCTTCACCCATCACAAAAGCTTCACCCATAAAAGCTTCACCAACAAAAGCTTCACCCACAAAAGCTTCCCCCACCACAAAAGCTTCACCCACAAAAGCTTCATCCATAAAAGCTTCACACTATCTTGATCAAGATAGTGTGAAGCAAAATCAATTCATGGTACTCAACAAAGCTTCAACCTCAAAGCTTTACCTACAAAGCTTCAACACCAAAACTTCACCTACAAAGCTTTAAAATATATATATATATATATTTTTTTTCGAAAATTCGAAAATTCAAAAATTCAAAAATTCGAAAAAAAAAATTTGCCTAAACCTCATCTTTTTTGGGCCTAACAACTTTCATAACAAATATATATGAAGAAGGAGTTTTGGGCTACCACTTAGAAATGAAATGCCTCATTTGTCAACTCTCTCGACCGGAGACTTGGGGGACTCCTACCATATGCTACTACATCTTGATACTCGGAAGTCTCACGATCATTCAGTGACTTGGATTTTTCAAGTCTCCAAACGAGAAGTTTTCCTCACTCGGGAAATTAAGGGAGCAGTACCTCAACCTACATGCTTCACTCACAAAGCTTCAACATACAAGCTTAAACAAAAGGAAAAATTCAAAAAACTTAGTGAAGAAGGCCTTGGTGTATTTAACACAATACGTTGAAATGAAGCAAAGCTTGTTTATTGATATCTCCGATAAGTTACAAATATGTATATATACATGAATCAAAATAAACAAACAATAGGGAGTCTTCACAAAGGTTGTTCAGGAGAAGTCTCAGCAGTCAGCAGAGCCCCAGAAAGAGGAGGCACCAGAGGGTGATTATTCGGAGCCTCAGTACTAGGCAGAACCCCAGAAGGAGGAGGCACCGAAGGTTGATCATTTGGAGCTTCATTACACGGTACAGCCCCAGAAAACGAAGGCAATAAATACATTTAGAACAAAGCCACAAACCTCTGATGATCAAGTAAAATCTGACCATCAGATTCCTGCAGCTGGTCGAGCTTCCTCTTCATGTTTGTAGCATAGTCATGTGCGAGCATGTGCAACTGTTTATTCTCATGCTTGAGCCATCTGATCTCCTGTTTGAGACTTATCACTTCAGCAGCCAATGATTCAACTTGGCGGGTTCGAGCAAATATGCGTTAGGCCATATTAGACACAGAACCTGCACACTGAACATTGAGAGCCAGAGAATCTTTAACAGCCAACTCATCATACCGTTTGGAAAGTAGTCTGTTATCTTTAGGAGTGAGAAGGTTC